GGAACTTAGTTCCCCAGCCGAGGATCGAACCTGCTCCCCCTGCAGTGGCAGCTCGGAGTCCTAACCACTGGACCACCAGGGAGGTCCCTGAATATTTTAAGCTGAAGGAATTTGAGACATGGGAGGTTCAGGAAGAACTTTCTGACCTTCCCCTGAAACCAGTCATAAAACTATCATGTGAAAGGTGACCCCCTCCCATACCCGGAGGAAAGAAGCATCTCTATCTCCAAGGATGGAGGGAAGAGGGGAGAAAAGTGCATGGACAGGCCTTGCCAAGTTCCCCCGCTCACTCCACGTAGCTCATACTCTTCCTGTTCTAGAATATTTCCCCACAACTTCCCACTTGTCATCAAGCCCAGCATGAAAACGCGCAGGTGAGACCACCTCTTCAGGCCTTCATTTCCTTACCAAAGCTCCCATGTCACAGACAACTTACATTAAATAAATCTGTGTGCTTTTCTCTTGTTAATCTGGCTTTTGTTACATGGGCCCCAGCTGAGAATTTAGAAGAGCATGTTAAAAAACAAAATTCAGCTGAGTAAATTTCAAAGATCTTATTGGCTCTGTTCAATGATTCATGGATCGGACAGCACCCCATCTAGCACACACAGAGGAGCTCCGAGGAACTGGACAAAGCCAAAGACTTTTACAGGCAGAAGGAGCGGGAACACGAAGTTATACTCGGCAAAAAAAGTGGGTTGATTACTGCAAGGTCACTTCCCTTTAGGGGATGCAGGGGTCCACCCGGCAGGTGACCTCCCTGGTGCTGACCAGGGGATCCCGATTCCCTGGTTTAAGATCCTGTTTCTGGGAGAGGCTGAAACTGTAATTAAGTGAAGTTTGGTGACGTGGAGCTCAGCGTCAGTGACTCCATTTTGGGGACCGCTGTCTTTGACATTGGTATGCATTTAAAGATTTCTCCCCACATCACGACTGTACTGAATTTTCTAATTCATCCCATCGTATTCTGATAATTCTTTACTATAGAATCACTGAATATTTCAATGGCTGCAAAATACTAAGAGAAAGGTAGAAACAGCAATGGAGATCATTAGAAATTGTAGTGTTACTGTTACCGACCCAGGTCCTTGGACTCTTTTTAATCAGTAGGTTAATTTTTTAAAGTCCTACTAAGTGTCCCAAGGCTGGAGTCTCAGGCAACGTGGACTGTGTTTGTATTTCAAGGCTTAAGTGCTTGACCTGTGCCCGGCAGAGATTCGCAGAAGCGGCTGCACAGACAAAACCACATAAAACATAGAGCCTTTAAAACTCACTTTAAAGTTCAGCATGTACCAACGACAGAAACTTAAAAGACTCAGACAAGAAACAAAGAAATGGTGTCACCACGAGGTGGCCTCCTGCCAGCTGGAGTTGGGAACAGAGAACAGAAAAGTACTGGGGGGAGGGGGGAGCTGTGGAAAAGGTGACCTAACAGGAAGTCTCCAGGATGAAACGGACGGGAGTGTAGGTATGAGGACCAAGGGAGAGGGAAAGAGAGGAGGGACAGAAAACGCTGAAAAAGAGAAAGAGAGACAGACAGAGGTTGCCTTTTCAACCCGCCCCTGCGGGTGTCTATTCAGGCACCAGTCAACCTGCACCCAGAAACCACCAAGCACCCTGTCCACTGCCCCCTCGGGTGCCCCAGCCCCGAAACCAGCCAGTTGTACATCTCCCACCTGTGTGTCACCCGTCAAGGTGACTGCTGCCAGCCAGAGGGAGCAGGTCTCACAGCTGAGAGGAGGGATGCTGGAGCTGCCCAACATCCACTCCCTCGGAAGGAGAGGACAGAAGTAGGAGACGGCAGAGAGAAGTAGAGAGCTCAGGAGAGGGAAAGGACCAAGGGGAGGGGGAAGCGATGCCTGAGTGAGGGCACCGAGACCCTCGGGGTGACGACGGCAGACTTACCAGACGCGGAGAAGCCGAAGCAAGAGGTCTAGGCCGCTGCATCGCCCGCAGGGAAGCTGCGTTTGGTGGTCCCGGAGGGGCCTACATCCTCTCCTGGGGGTGCTGTAAAAGGCCCCAAGGACTTCCCGCCAGAGTCATCACAAAGTGTAATACTGACCCGGGTCCTTGGACTCTTTAATCAGTAGAAATTGATAAGCGGCCAGACGAGGAACTCAGACAAGGCTTTACCGGGGCTTGTGCTGCAGCAGGAGGGACCGAGAACAAGTAACAGGTGCTGCTCCCTAGGTGGGCGGGCGGGTCTCTTAAATGGGGTGGGGGCGGGGGCGGGCTGGTGGGAGGGGCCGAGAGGCGGCTCAGGTGGTCTGCCCACCCCCTCGCTGGTGCCGTGCGCAGGGGGCAGGCGCAGTTCCCTGCTTTTGCTCCCGGCGCCTCAGCCCTGGCAGTCGGTTTGTGGCCTTTTTGTATCTTATTGCTCAGAATTGCCCCCAGCTGAGCATGCACATAGTTATTTTTAGTCAGGCGTAGATCCTCTGTATCTGCTGCTGGAGGAGCCGTTATCCAGGTGCAAGCTCTCCAGTAGAGTCCCAGGTCTCAGCCTATCACACTACTATAAAACAGCAACGAGGGCTTCCCTGGTGGCGCAGTGGTCAGGAATCAACCTGCCAATGCAGGGGACACGGGTTCAAGCCCTGGTCCAGGAAGACCCCACATGCCGCGGAGCAACTAAGCCCGTGCGTCACAACTACTGAGCCTGCGCTCTACAGCCCGTGAGCCACAACTACTGAGCCTGCACTCTAGAAGCCGTGAGCCACAACTACTGAGCCTGCGCCCTAGAGCCCGTGAGCCACAACTACTGAAGCCCGTGCGCCTAGAGCCCGTGCTCCACAAGAGAAGCCACTGCAATGAGAAGCCCGTGCACCGCAAGGAAGAGTAGCCGCCGCTCGATGCAACTAGAGAAAGCCCGCATACAGCAACAAAGACCCAACACAGCCCAAAACAAACAAACAAATAAATAAGTAAATAAATAAATTTATAAAATAAAATAGCAACAAAAGGGAAAATTATGAGGGTAAATAAAAATAAGATTGAATTTTCCCTTGTTATTAAAAGGAAAGAGGTCTTTTCTCCCCCCTCCTTTTTCTTAGGACTTTTCCTAGAGAAAACTATTTGTAAATTCTCCCTCTGTCAGGGGCTGTTGTAACAAAATCCACAGATGGGGCAGCTTGTAAACAACAACATTTATTTCTCATGGTTCAAGAGGTTGGACGTCCAAGATTATGGGGCCAGCAGATGCACTGTAGTGGCTGGTGAGGGCCCACTTTCTGGTGCATAGCCGGCTGGGTCCTCACATGTGGAAGAGGGTAGTGGGCTCTGCGGGGTCTCTAATCTCTAACAAGGGCACTAATCCCATACACAAGGGCTGCACCCTCGAGACCTAATTACCTCCCAAAGGTCCCACCCCCTAGTCCCATCACATTGGGCACTAGGATTTCGACATATGAACTGGGGCATGGGGTGCGGGGGGAAGGGGGCAGGGGTGATACGCTTCAGCCCACGGCGGGGCTAAGGATGCAGCTTCCCGTGCGTCGTGTCACTGCCATTTTCAGTGTCACGGAAGCCTCAGAAGTAGGAACCGCAGGCTAAGTCAGTCACCAGATCTCTAACCTGGACCTTGGAGTTGGTGACCTTTGCCAGAGAGGAGAGCCACCAGCCGGGCTGCAAGGCCTCGGCACAGTCACCTGGGCTCTTGTGAACTACAGAACCAGTGTCGGAAGCATCAGGTTTGGGACCCAGAGGCCTGTTCTCGGGATCTGGGAGGCTGTGGGGTGAAGGCTCACCTGAGCAAGGAATTTGGCATCAGAGACCGTATGTTCGAGTCCTGGCTCACCCCTGACTAGTTTTTTTCCAACGGAGACACATCATTTCTCTGAGCTTCTGTTAAAAACAGATACTCGATGTACTGCACGGGGTGGTTTCCAGGCTTTAGGGAGATGCTGTTTGGGAAGATGCTTTGAGAGCTATAAGGCACAAGACAAGTACTACTTAACATGACTCATCTGGCCTCTGCGGCGCACTCGCCCGCCGGGCCAGTCTCCCCTTCTGTCCAAAGAGCGGGGGAAGCAGCGCACTGCGGTCCCTTCCAGTGCTGGCAGTGGGGTGGGGTGCGGGCTCTAGCTAGACAGCACCCTCCCTCCCTGACTCCGCTGAGCCTCCGCCACATTCCTGAGCCTGCCAGCCCCAAAGTCTGGGAGCTTCTATAGCTCATGTGTCTGCCAGATGGCAAGGGAACAACGCAGAGAGATGCTTCCAGAAAACCTTTCTTGACAAATGCGCAAAGTCTGGGCCCTGTCCCCACCTCTAGCCCCAACCCCAGAAGTTCAGCAGTCGCCCTCAGTCCTCCATCTCCGCCCCACCCGTCCCCAGCCTGGCTCCAGGGTTTCTCTGCATCGTCATTTTGTCCCCAGCTTGCGGGCTGCAGCTTCTACTGTTGACCCGTGTGTCCCAGACCACGTCCTTCTGCCTCTGTCTCCCAACACTGCTTCCCAGAGCTGGACCTGGAGGGGAGCGTCTCAATTTCAGCACAACTGACCCTGCGGGGGACACCATCTGGGGGATCAGGAGTTCGAGGCTCTCCTTCTGCCATCGGCCAGCTGGGGAGCATCAGCTGAGACTTCCCCTCCCTGGGTTTGCATCTGTAACGCTGAGACGGCGACCCGGGGTGCTTGCCCGCTGCTAGCCCGTGGGAGTGATCCGGGCTCCTCCTGCTTTCAGCTCCCCAGCCACTCCCCATCAACCTCCACCCTCTCCTTCTGCTGGGACAGATGCCAGGTGGCAACCTCTCACAGGGTCAGCTGAGGCAGGAGAGACCAGGGGAGCAGGACCCCAAGTCCTAGTGGACAAGCCTGAGCAGATGGCCATGCCCTCAGCCTCTGGCCTGAGCCCTCCTGCCCTCGGATCCCACATCTCTGGAATTTCCGTCTCTCCTCCCATCCACAGGCCCCCGTCATGGAGCACCTTGGCTCCCCGCCCCTGTCCCCAAAGCCCCACGTAGGCTGATTCAGGAGATGTTTCAATAATTTACTGGGAAGCTGACACTCAAGCACACACATTTTATTTTGCGTATGACGCGCCCATTAATCCTTTGCAGTTGAATAGCCTAGAAGCCCTCCTTGTGGGGCTTTGCTGTCCTCCTGGGGGTGCATCCAGGTCTCCTGCTAACATGGACGGAGGTGTCTCCCCTAGGCTGAGGGGGGCGGGCATGTTCCATGGATGTGTCCCCCCAGGACTTTCATAGAATCTGCTATGAGGACTGTCGATGGAGCTCAGAATGCAACTACAGGTGTTTTCTTTGGCTTTGGACCTGTTGCTGGGATGGCATTCCACAAAGAACATGGGCACTGACCAGGCTGGACAAAGGGCACGACCACGAGGGACACGTAAGGGAACCCCATTCCCGGTGCACATGTGGGCTCCCCGGGGCTGCGGGAGAAGGGGGTGGCCCCCGTCCTGCTGGGGTAGCTTTGGAAAGAGTCTCCACTCAGGGGGGCAGGCCACCGTGCACCACCCGGACTCTTTGGCTTTGCCCGGGGGCCCCTCCTGCTCCTTCCCCAGCCTCTTATCAGGGCTCCCAATCTTGAACACCTAGGTCACCCATCCTGGGGCTGCTCCCGCCTCTGAAGGGGAGACTTCCAGAATGGCGCCCGCTTAGCCCCCCTACCATCTCGGGAAATAAGCCAGGGCGGGGAGGGTGGGCCACGATCTTGGCGGGAGACCCTGGGGTCCAGTCTATCTGGGAAGAGAGGCAGGTTAGCAGTCGTCTGCAACGGAAACAGCCCCAGACTCTGTCCAGGCTCACACTCTGCCGCCGGCCCTGAGGTCTCCTCGATTCTCGGTCACCAGTCACCACCCAGATGGGGCGTTCAACCAGGGTGGTGTGGCACACACGGGCCCTTGGAACAGCGGCCCCCATCCCTCCCCTCCCCCCCGGCAGCTCTCCTTCCCTGGAGCATCTGGCGGGCGGTCACTCCTCCTGCAGCAGGGGCGCCCGGTCCCCCTCCTGCACTCTCTCGTCCTCCTCCCTCTCCATGCAGCCCACCGTGGCCGCCAACCCGGCACCCACGCCTCCCCCGACCACGGCTGCCCCCGTGGCCCCCACTGCAGCTCCCGCGGCCACCATCCCAGCTTCTGCGGCCAGCGCCGCGGCGGCCATGCCGGCACCCACCACGCCCCCCGCCAGGCCCATGAGCCCCGCGCCCACGGCGCCGCCCACAGCGGCCAGGTGGCCGCAGAAACGCACGGTGTAGGAGTCCATGAAGGCCTTGGCCTCGGCCTGCAGCTCGGCCTCCAGGGCCTCTAAGGTCTGCTCCCTCCCCGTGCATAGCAAGGCCGCCCCGTGCCGAGCCAGGAGCGCGTCCTTCTGGGTCGACAGGAGGTTCCGCATGGTGTCTGGCAGCACCCGGAGCGCAGAGAATATGCGCTTGGTGGCCACGTCCTGTGATGGACGAGAAAGAAGGGGCCCTGACCTGGAGCCCCGGTGCCTCCCAGCGGACGCCGGCCCCCCCGCCCAAAGACTGGTCCCTCTCCCGCAGGACGCCTGGCCTCCCGGGGCCCGAGGCTCACCTGCTGCCGCAAGTACTCCTCAAACTCCTTCTTGGCAGCCTCCACCGTCCGAAGGTCGTGCAGCTGGGCAGCCATCTGTCCACGGCAAAACCCGGCTGCCTCCCTCCTTTCCCCCGCTGGGCGCTGCCGGGCCCCCCGCTCCATCTCGGGGAGCCCGGCTCGCCTCCCACCCGCGTCCTCCCTGTAGCCCCATACCTCATCCGGAGAGGCGCACCCAGGCCCCGTCCTGCCCATCCAGCCCGAGAGGTTCTGCGGAGACAGCGTCGGGGGGTCAGGGGGGGCGGGGGCCAGCGGGTCTCCTGGGGCTCTGGGGAGCTTTCACACCTTGATTTCCTGAGCCAGCTGCTGCCCCGTGAGCAGGCGTCTGTCCCCCCGGGCCGCGGGGCGCCCCTCGCTCCAGTAGCCCTGGCAGCGGCTCTTGGCATGCAGGGGGGGCCGCGCTCAGCACATCGGCCACGTAGGCGCGGAGGTGGCCAGCATCATCATCTGTGTCTGAGGAAGAGAGTCCTCATGCAGAGGTGCCTGGTAAGCAGGACCGGCTTCAGGAAGAGAAAGGGGTGTCGGGAGAGGAGGAGGAGGAGGAGGGAAAGGAGGAGGGGGAGGAGGGGGAGGAGGGGAGGAGGAGGGGGAGGGGAGGAGAGGAATAGGGGGAGGAGGAGGGGGAGGGGAGGAGGGGGAGGGGGAGGAGGGGGGAGGAGAAGGGGGAAGGGAGGAGGAGGGGGAGGGGGAGGGGAGGAGGGGGGAGGGGGGAGGAGGAGGGGGAGGGGGAGGGGAGGAGGAGGGGGAGGAGGGGAGGAGGAGAGGAGGAGGGGAGGGGGAGGAGAAGGAGGGCAGGCCGGGGAGGCTTTGCTCCTGGGACACTCACCACCCGGGCTTCCGTGGCCTTTGCTCGCCCACTGCCTCCTGGGAGCCGGCAGGAGGCAGCAGCGGGCTCGCCTTCCTTGAAGCAGCCCCTGAACCTTGGGGTATTTGCCGGATGACTTCTAGAGAGGAGTGGGGATGCGCTCTGAGCGCGCTCGCTGACAGGACCCCTCCCCGGCTAACTGACCTTCTGCCCTGTCTACACCTCCGCCCCATCCCCTCCCTCACCTTGATGATGTCGCCTACATGCCCCTGCCCCGCCTTGCTGGGGTGGGATGAGTCACGAACTAAGAGGTCCAGGTGCTGGAAGAGAAGGGGTGCTGATAGCAGCAGCTGGGGTGTCGGAGTCTGGGGTGACAAGTCCAGAAACGGGTATCTCACCTGGATTGGCACCATCCCATAATGCCTGCCCATCACCTCGGCCACGTGGACAAACATCTGGGGACGGGGCACAGGGGTCATGGCTGGGCCACTCCAAGGGCTGTGCCTCCCCTCCCCCTGGGCCACTGGAGGACATCCTCCCGGCTCCTGGCCCCAGGACCCTCCTACCTCTCCCCAACCAGGCACCTCCTGGTTTACCCTCTGCCCCCAACCCCGCAATCCTGCTCCAGGTCACAAAATCCTGGGCCAGAGCTGAAAGGCACCCCTGGCCTCACGGGCAGGGCAGGGACAGGGTTCAGCCCCAAGAGCAGCTGTGTCCTCACCTCCAGATACTCCAGGTCTGTATCCTTCAGCTCCTGGAAGGCCGTGAGGATCTGGAACCAAGGAGAACAAGGTGGAAGGGGGTCTGTGAAGGCAAAGAGACACTGGGAAGACCCCGGTGAGGCAGGACCCCCCAGGCAGACCGTGGGGCTCAGGAGGTGCGAGGGACCAGCCCCGGGCACCCCCGCAGCCTGCAGGGCAGGGCTGGCCCGGCCCAAGGGGTGGAGGGCAGGCAGGGGGACGGTCCACAGACCTTCAGCTGCCCCAGGGGCCTCCGACCCGCCTTTAGGGCCTTCACACTGACTCGAGGCGCCCCCTCGCAGGGGCGCCCCAAGAACCTGCGGGGATCCCAGACACAGGGGCCTCCGGGGTAAAGGTCCCGGTCCCCGGGGCTTGGAGGGCCAGACCCGGCTGGGATGGCCCTAGTGTGGGTGGCGAGAGCGGAGCAGGGCAGGCAGAGGGGCTGGGGGGCCTCACCTGGTAGGAGCTCAGCATGGAGGTGAGAGCGCAGAGCCGGGTCCTCGTTTCCCTGCTCAGTTCAGGGCTCATGGCGTCCCCCGTGTCCACCAGGAACACGGCCACCTGTGTGGAGGCAGGGGTGCACACTGAGGGGTCAGCCTGCCGCGCCCCCCAGGTGCCTCTGCCCGCCCCATCTTCTCGTCCCAGCCCCCAGAGATTTCCTGCCCGATTCCCCTCTCCATGAGCCGGTCTGGACTCCTCTGCCCCTCCCCGCTCACCTTCCTCCCCTCCTTCCCCAGCAGGAAGGGATGACTCCACATCCAGAGGCCCCTGGTGAGGCTGTTAGCTCCCCACCGGAAGCCCTGCCCGGAGCACCCTTCCCTCGGCCAGCCGCCCTCGCCGGGCTCCTGTGGGGCAGAGAAGCAGAGCATCCGTTGGCCCATCCGGCCCCCTCCCCTCCCCAAGCCAGGCTGGGTCCCTGCCCCTGCCCCCAGCCCCCGGCCCAGCCCCGCCCTCACCAGGCCGGGCAGGCCCTGAAGCAGGTGGTTTAGGAGGAAGGTCTTCCCTGAGTGCCGCTCTCCCAGGACGGCAAGGAGGCAGACGGGGGTGTCCCTGGCCAGCGGGTGCTTCAGGCAGCGGTTGACGGCCCCCATCCTCAGGATGAGGCCCCCGGAGGCGTTGACACGCACCAGCAGCAGCGGCTGGGCCCTCACTGCGCAGGTCTCCTGGGCCCGGAGACAGGGCTCCCTGAGCTCCCAGGCTGGGGAGCGTCCCCCCGAACTCCACCTCCCTCCGTGACATCCCAGTGTGAGGTCAAAGCCCCCGGCCGGGAGGAGGCCTGCGCACCTGCAGCGCGGTGGGCAGCGGCCTCCGTGGCAGGAGCCTCATCCTCTCCCCCAGGCCCCGGAGGCCCTTCTGCTTGCAGGTCTTGCGGCACTCGGGGCAGCAGGGCGGCCCGCAGCCGGGGACACGGTGGGTGCTGAAGCACCGCGGGCAGAAGTCGTGGCCACAGTCCAGAGAGATGGGCTCGCGCGGCCTCTCCAGGCAGATGGAGCAGGCGGGCGGCTCCCGGGGTGCCACAGGTCGGGACCCCAGCCCCAGGTCCAACTTGGGGAATGGTGCGTGGGACCTGGGGGTGGTGTGCAGGGCACGGGGACCCCAGGGCAGCAGTCAGAGGGAGCCTGAGATGGGGAAGCCTGGAGGGAGCCGTCTTGGGCAAGTTCCCGCCCAGGTCTGCCCCATTTCTAACGGTCCAGGAGGGAAGGATGGGGTGAAGAGACAAGATGGTGCACCCTGCCCGGAGCCTGGCACAGACGCCCACGGAAATCCTCCCCCATGGCCTCCTGCTGCGAGGGGAGGGGGGGGGGTCCCTCCAGGGGTCAATGACCTCTACATACCCCAAGAGGATCCTTTCTACTACCTCCCTCGGGCAGCGGGGACCATAAGGAGAGGCCTCCCGGGGGGCAGCAGGCGGCTCTTGGAAGATTCCAGCTCTGAGCTGGCATCTGCCTCGCTGCAGCACCCACCTGGTTTTCCCATCCCTCCCTCCACAGCCTGGCGGACCCAGCCTCGTGCTCCCTCCCCTGGGACAGGTATCCAGGCCCCAGTCCTGCCGCCAGGCCCTGCCACTTACCAACTGTTGCTGCTGTTGCCCATGAAGCTCTGTTTTCTCTCCTTGGAGAGAAAATTGGGGAGAAAAACAATCCCAAAAATGTTATTTAGAAGGGAATCCAGACTTCTATCTTCATCCTGGATTCCAGGTGCCCCCATCCTCCCTCTGCAGACCCAGTCCCCACCCCCAGGTCTCAGGACCAAAGACTCGCCTGTTTGCCAAGCCGGTGACAAAAGGAAATGACTGACAAGGCAGACCTCGGCATGGGAGGCTGGCGTGGGGAGAGGGTCCAGGAGAGGGTCCGGGAGAGGGTCCGGGAGCAGGCAGGACACCCAGGAGACCTTTGGCGGCGCTGAGGCTGGCTTCCCTCCCGGAAGGGCTGGCGGAGCTGTGGCCAGTGGAGGCTGGGGGGGTCTCCCCAGAGGACACAAGTCGGCAGGGCTGGAAAATGGATGTGACAGTCGGGAAAGAGGAGGCTGCCTCTGGACTCACCCCAGGGGGAGGAGACAGGACTGCAGGAACCAGGGCTCCAGAGGGAGGGACAGAGCCGGGCCCAGAATCCCTGGCAGAGGCTGGGATGCAGGCAAGCCGGGGTGGTGAGTCGCCATGGAGACGGGAGGGAAAGATAAGGACAGGGAGGGGGAGGGTGGATGGAGAGGAAGCCATATGGGTGCGCGGTAGACACGGGACTAGGCTGGCACTGTCCCTGCTGGCCCAGCGGGGTTCTTCCGGGGCCACCGGGCAGGGGGTGTAGAAGGCAGAGCTGTGGGAACGGGGAGAAAGCATGACCTGTGCTGACCTAGAGCCACGATGGCCTCCTTCCTCCCATGGATGGTCTCTGTACTGGGCGCCTGCCAGGTGCGGGGCCCGTGATGCCACCCCACGGCCTGTGCGTGATGCCACCCCGCTGCCTGCGCGCCCCTCCCTCCAGGCTGTCCCAGCTGCGGCTCTCCTCAGCGCCCTGGGCTGTTCTGACGTCGGCTGCGTGTCCCCTGGTGTCTTCCTCCTCCAGTGACTTTCACCCTCATTCAAGCTTGTGACAGTTACCCCTGGCCCTTCTAACTGCCTCTCACCTGGGCTCCTCCCATCCACCCCCAGTTCGCGGCCAGCCCAGAGCCCTGAGCACGGCCGACCCCTCGCTGCGCAAACACCTGCCACGGCTCCCTAGTCCCATCGGATCGAAAGCCAAAGTTCCTGGTCTGCCTGAGCCTTCCTCGGCAGCCCTCCCTCCCCCGCCTCCACACCTTTGCCCAGTGTTCCCTGTGCCTGCGGTGGGGCCCCCATCCCTCCTGAGACCCTCGCAGGCCCAGCTCAGGGGCCGCCCCTCCCGCCTGGACGTGATCTTGCCCTCAGGTGGCCTGTGGCTTGTGGACCTGACCCGTGATGGGCTCTGGAGCCGGGCTGATCCGGCTCAACTCCCAGCTGACCCCTGCGAGCCGGGCCCCAGGTGCTGCCTTTCACTTCTCTGAGCTCTGGGGTGTCACGATTACATATGGAAAGCCACTTGCCCGGGGCTAAGAGTTATTCTTAAACCAGGATGCAGGGGGGTGGGATGGGACTCCTACCCTGCAGGCGGTCAGGTGAGACCACCGTCAGCAGGCAGGGATGCCCCTGCAGCCCGGGCTGGGTCTTGCTTCCGGGGACGGAGGGCCTCTTAATCAAAGCAGAGACTCGAGCCCTCAAGGGGTTGAGAGCAAAGCCTCACTGGGCGGGGGTGGGGGGCGGGGTTCAGGGCCGTGTCCACTGCTCTCCTTCGAGGCCAAGTAGGTTTTCTCGGTCACGCGGCCTCACATCCCTGGCAGACAGATGCGGGGAGAGAGCCTGGGCGCCTGACTCACGTGCACTCCAACCCCTGCCCTGTCCCAGCGTGAGACCCGGGAAGGGACTGACCTCTGGGAGCCTCCGTTTTCTCATCGCCAGGCAGAGATGTGGTAAAGCAGACGGGCACCCAGCCTTCCCCCAGCAACACTCCCTGGGCACCCGGCCTTCAGGGCACGTGTCCCACTGTGGGACAGGCCCCTTGTGGCCTGGCTCCAGCCCCTGACCTCCTGACCTCTGTTCCAGCTTCTGGGCTGGGAGGAGGGGGCTGGGGTGGGGCCAAAAATCCAGTCTCCAGACGGGGACCCTGTTTGGGGTGACTCTGGTTCCCCGGATGCAGGCGGGAGCTGCTTCACCAACCCCGGTGCACACGCACGCACACATATACGTGCACACACACACACATGTGCACACACACCGTCACATGCGCCCTTCACGTCAATTCACACACACGCACACGGTCGGCACACTCCGCCTCACCCGCACTGTGCACACATGCCTTCACTGCCCTCCCTCGCCTGTGGACCCCAAACAATCATGCACACACGTGAACACGCCACACTTAGACTCACAACTGCACACGAACCTCCGCACACACGCATATGCTCACTCATGAATGCTCACGCAAACACATTCACGTGTGCACCAAGGCCTTCACGCTCGTGCACACTGACACTCGAGCTCACTGTCCCACAGGGACACACACACACTCGTACCCACAGGCACACGAGCTCACCCTCAACCTCACAACCTATGAGGAGGTACTGTTTCACTCTCATTTCACAGATGACAAAACTGAGGCCAGAGAGGTTAAGTCTCTCTCCAAGGTCACACAGCTGTGAGTGACGGTGCTGGAATCCCGACCCAGGCCGTCAGTCCGCCCACCGAGTCACCCAGCCACCCCTGTATCCGTCCACCTTCTCATCCATCAGCCTCCAGCGTGTCTGCCCATCCAGTCATCCGTCCTTACACTTCTCCGTCCAGAGGACAGGTATTTACTGAGCACATCACACCCGGCAGGACGCAGGCCCTGAGTACAGGCTGGTGAACACTTGGGGTGCCTCCAGTCGACCAGGGGAGGAAGAAGGGTCCCTAGACGAGTCCTGAGGGATACGCTCTCTGCCGAGGGCTGTGGGGAGAGGCGGCTGTGAGCACGGAGCGAAGGCAGGGCACTGGGGTCTGGACACGTGGGGAGGTCGGGCCTGAAGGATGAACAGCAGTGGCAGGCAAAGGTGCGGTGGGTGGGAGGGCAACGGCACGGAGACGGAGACGGAGAGCGGAAGGAGGGGAGGCCTGGGGGCGGGGCACGCGGGCCCCGCCCTGTGGAGCCACAGGCCTCTGGGTGCTGTCAGGTGTGCTGAGCCCCGGACTTGGCTGCCTTCACGCCCAGGACTCTCCGCCCCTGCCCTCACCCAGGCCTCACCCAGGCGCGCCCGTGCCAGGCCGCCTCGTGTGAGCACCGGAGACCCGGTCGGGCCACTGTCGGGGGAGGAGGACAGGGTCCTGGAGCCGTGGGATGACAGAGCTGGAGGGAGGTGCCCTGTTCGGCTGCCACCTTCTAGCTTCGAATAAAGACCAAGGTGAAGCCAAGCATGGTGTGGAATTCCTGCTTTTGTGGAGAGAAAACAAGGTTTCTACTTCCTGGATGGTCCCTCCCAGGGCCACCAGTCCCCTCCCAACAAGGTGGCCCCCTCCCTGCCCTGAGACAGCCGCTGGTATTGAAAGGCCCCCTCCACGCCCCCCCACCATCACCGCTGGCCATCGTTACACGTGGTGTGTAGTTTCCACCTCTGTGTTCAGAGCTGGTGGGGGGCAGTCAGCAGAGGGGCGCCTAGGCCAGCCCTGAACCCTATGCTGGGCAGGACACAGTCCAGGCGCTGGCGAGGCCAGGCCCACTGTGGCTGCCCAGGACCCTGACCCTGACCCTGGCTCCGCTCCCTCTCCTGCCAGCTGCCAGGGACTTCCCATCGCAGCAGGAAAGTCCCGAGTCCCTAGCCTCCCGTTCGGAGCCCCCCGCACCAGCTCATCCCCGGCTTCCTGAAATAATTTTCAGGATAGAACCACCATCGGACACCTGCGTAGCAATTTAGGGTCACGATGTCTTGCCAAGAGCTGCCTTCACTGATTCCCACAGCACAGAGACAGCCCGGCGTCTCGAGCTGGGAAACAGGCTTGGGCGCGGGGCGACCGTCCAACTGGGTGAGGCCCCAAGTCTGGGCTTCACTCAGACTTGGGGCCGCTGAGGCTCAGTCTTGCAGGATGGGTGGGAGTTAACCCCCCTTCGTGAAAGGTGCTGGGTGAGGATGGGTGTTCCAGGCATGGGGAGCAGCCTGTGCGGAGGCCGGGCTGGGGTCAGTGCTGGGGAGTAGGGCAGGGTCCGGGGATCGAGGTGGCGGTCCGCAGAGCACAGACATCGGAGGGACATGGGGCAGATTTCAGACTTTCCTCGCAGGACAATGGGACCCGTAAACGATTCTAAACAGGAGGTGTGTTCTGGAACCATCGCTTTGCCCACACAGACACACTGCAGGAGACCTGGCTGCTCTGGGCGGCATCTAACTGGGCCTGAAACCCATCCCCTAGGGACAGCCATCCAGAGCATCGCTAAGTTTTGCTGTAACAGACAGCAGTCAGAGTCACACAGAAGCTTCCACGGCCTGGGGCGGCCCAGTGACATGTGCTGAATGTCAGGAAAGGAGTAGAGAAGCCACAATTCCAACACGGGGGACAGGAAGGTGGGCTGCAGGGGCAGGACACACAAGACGGGGGCACTCATTGATGTGGTGACAGCAAGCGACAGCAGTGAAGCTGGAAGCCCCCCCAGCGCCTTTCTGAGGTTCGCACCAGTGGGTGGGCGGTCCTTGGCGCTGGCGGCCAACCAGCCTCACACACCATCTCCCCCCAAACCCGAGCCCAGACCTGGCTCCCGGCCCCTCCCCCCGCGCCACCCCATTCAGACTCCCAGCCGCCCACCAGGTCTGGAACATCCAGGCAGTGGGCCAGGACGCTGAGGGACAAGGCCACCTGGCCCCTGAGGAGCAGACTCCCCACCAGACTCCGCCCAGCTGGACCCGGGCCCCCAGACCCCTCCAAGGTGAGAGGCAGCGCCTCGCAGCTGGACAGCCAGCCAGACTGAATGGGGCCGGGGGCCCCTGCGGTCCAGGCCTCTATATCCAGACCTCTACTGGCCAGGTGGCCTAGACGAAGGCCACCCCCCAGATGGGCCGGACCAGCTGGAGGGCCCTGGACAGCACCCAGGCCTCGGCTCAAACACCAACCCTGCCCTGCTCACCGGGCCCGGTCACTCCCCTCACTCAAGCTCAGTGTCCCAGCAGTAAAACTAAAGATAATCACTGCCGTGCGGGGTTATTGCGGGGAGCCCGGCATGCAGCTGCTGCTTAATACACGTCAGCTGCTGATGAGCCGTGGAGGCGAGCCTGGGCTCACCTCACTGTGCCCGCGTCTCCCCAGGCGCCTGCCCCTGCCTGGGCTCTCAGGCCTCCCTCCTGGGGCCTGACCCCTCCTCTGTGAAATTCCTACAGAGGCAGAACCTTCCGGGGTCCTTAGGTCATGAGGACGAGGCCCCACAGATAAAGTACTGTTTCAGCAGTTTACTGCTGCTAAGAATGGTCGCACATATTCACTGGGCTTCTAAAATACGCTGAGTCCTTTAAACAATGGGCTCTCCAGTTCTCCCCGATTTCCTCTAAAGGTGGAGACATTGCTCCACTTTACAGATGAGGAAACTGAGGCTACCCAGGTGCTCATAGCCACGCCCGCCTTCCGCTGGCCTCCCTCCCTGACTCTCTTTCTCTCTCACACACACAACGTTCCTCCTTCCTCTCTCAACCCCTCCCTGGGCAGAAGCTGCAGCCAGGAGCTCAGCTAGCCACCACGTAGCCTGTCTGCTGACAAAAGGAGTGTGGAGTGAGATTAGGTTAACAGGAAATGACCAGCTGACCCTGAGGTCAGGAAGGAGGGTGTCCAAAGGCTGGAGTTTGCTTCTGCTTTCCGACAATGAGTCTGGCAACGGAAAGAGCAGGAGTCCCCACCCAGATCGGAGCAGCTGGTCCAGACTGCTCGGTCCCAGTGGGCCTCCTGCTGCCAGAGGCGCGGAGGTGGGCAGCTGAGAGGCCTGAGCAGGCTTGGGAGCTGCCCACGGGGCTCGGGCCAGCCCTGCCCATCCACAGTGGCCACCAGGGACAGACCAGGGCCTGAGAGCCTCAGCCACCCCTCCCTCCCCCACCTCTCACACACCTACCCTCCACCCCCAGCCAGGCCGGTTTTGGGGTTTTTTTAATCTATCTATCTATTTATTTATTTTTGGCTGCGTTGGGTCTTCGTTGCTGCACGTGGGCTTTAGCTGGGGGGGACATGAAACGGTGTAGCCACCCCGGAGAACGCTCCGGCAGAGTGGTCAGAACCACCTTACGACCCAGCCATTGCACTCCTGGGCCTTTTCCCCAGAGAAATGCTCCCACAGAATGTTCACACAAAAACCTGTACACGAATGTTTATAACAGCTTTATAAACAAAGTTTATGGCAAAACACTGGAAACCACCCAGCTATCCTTCAACAGGTAAATGATTAAACAAAGCAGCAGGTCCAAATGGAGAGCACAGCTCGGCAATAAAGGGGAAGGAACTAGTGACACACACAGTGACCTGGACGCATCTCCAGAGAATTATGTTGGATGAAAAAAGCCAAGCCCGACAGGTTAGATGTTGTATGATTCCATTTATGTGACATTCTTGAAGTGACAAATTACAGAAATGGAGACCAATTAGTGGTTGCTGGGAGGGCTAAGGAGCGGGTCGGGGTGCAGGGAAGTGAGTGTGCGCATCACGGGGCCGCAGGACGGACCCTGCTGTCCTGGAAACGTCCTGCATCTGACTGAATCCACGTCGTTATCCGGGTTGTGATACTGAAGGACAGTTTTACAAGATGTTCCCATTGGAGGAAACTGGGTACAAGATACCTGGGCTCTCTCTGTATCAGTTTGTACAACTGTATGTGAATCTACCATTATCTCAGGATTAAAAGTCTAAGTTAAAAATAAAAGTAAATAACAATCTAAAGGAAGGGTGTCCCTTCCTGCTTAACATTGGACACCGCCTTTCTGTGGCCGGTAGGGTAGTCTCATGCTCCCTCCCCACGTGGCCTGCTCACCACCTCGAGCCCCCCGCCCCCGACAGCCCTCCCCTCCTCCAGCCCCTCGCTCACTCCTCCCAAGCTCGGAGCCACCTTGCCCGAATCTCAACCACCGCGAGCGGCCCAGAGAGGCCCCTCAGCTGACCACGCTCCCTCCGCCGTCCAGCCACTCCTTCTCATCCTCAGGACTCTGCTGAGACTCCCGGCCCCCTGCGTGGCCCTCCTGGGAGAGCGGTCCCCTTGCTTGCCCAGCCACAGCCCCTCAGGGGCCACACGCTGGGCCTGCACGGAAGGCTGCCGCTGCATGTGTTGATGGGACCCCAGGACGATCCCGCGAAAGAGCCCCTGTCTGCTGAGGTGCCCTGACTCAGTGCGGTCACCAAGCCCAGAGGGCCACCAGCCCAGCCCCCGGGCAGAAGCACAAACCTAGGGGGAGTGGGGCTTTGCCCACGAGCGTCCACAATGAGCCAGGCTGGAAATGACGCAAATGCCCACCACGGGACAGTGGTAAGCAAAGGGGGGGGTGGTGGGGGGAGGCCTGCATGCAGTGAGGCCCCAGGGAGCACAGCTCAGACGTGAGGGTCCCCGTGGTCTCCAAGGAGCACATGGAGCTTCATCCACTGACTCTGACCAAGTGAGAAAGGAAAACTAACATCCAAAAATGTGTACTGGGGGCTTTCCTGGTGGCGCAGTGGTTGGGAGTCCGCCTGCCGATGCGGGGGACGCGGGTTCGTGCCCTGGTCCAGGAGGGTCCCGCGTGCTGCGGAGCGGCTGGGCCCGTGGGCCATGGCCGCTGGGCCTGTGCGTCTGGAGCCTGTGCTCCGCAACGGGAGGGGCCACAGCAGTGAGAGGCCCGTGTACCGCAAAAAAAAAAAGTGTGTTTGGGACTTCCCTGGTGGCGTAGTGGTTAAGACTCCGCACTCCCAACACAAGGGGCCCGGGTTCGATCCCTGGCCCGAGAACTAGATCCCACATGCATGCCACAACTAAGGAGCCCGCCTGCCGCAACTAAGATCCGACACAACCAAATAAATAAAATAAATTAAAAAAATAAAATAAAATAGTATCCCTACTACAAGACAAAATTTTTAAAAAAAACACAAAAACGTGTATTCATCAATTCGCTTAAAATAACAATAATAAATCATCATGTGCTTACATAAATAACATATTTCCATAAAAATAACCATATTTCCCGACACAGAAAAACAGTGAGAAGGACGGTGCCAGCTCGCCTGACCGTGAGTCTCTGCGCCCTGGCTGCATGGGAGCAGCCGGGCTCTCGCGTCTTGTTCTTCGTTCAGTCTCGAGAAGCCTCATGTCGCAGGCTCTGCAAACTCTACCCCACTCCCCGGAAAACCAGGGCAGAGAGTGCAGACAACACACTAGCATTTTTACTGCAAAACTCCTTCCG